GCTGCAACTAACAATTATTTTGATAATCGATTATGGGCGATTCTTTTCCGATTAATCGGATAAATTCAATTCGATTTGTTTATTATAACTAAATAAAACCATGGGTATTTATGTGTAAAAATGTACTTTAAAAAGTGCAAAAGCCACACATTGAGTTCTACTAATCTCAATATTTGCATTGTTCTTAATAATTGCTGATGGAAAGTTGACAACCATGATTAATGTAAAAAAATATATATACATTAACACAATATTGGTTAAAACAAATTTACACAGCCATGCTGTTCAGATACAAACTAAAAACATCAAAAATATATAATTCATTAGATATATTTTAAATTAATTGAATTATAAGGATAAATTGATAATAAATAAAGACCGAAAACAAGCACGCAAACGTAGAGCCGCAGTAAATCGCATTTGAAAAACAATTAAATCTTAATAGTGGACAAATGCTATAAAAAGACAACCTAACGGAGGCATGCTAATGTTGCATACCACTTTTTTTTCTAAATTACAGGCGACAACATATGCTAATACTGCTGGCAGCAAATAGAAAGCAATACGCCTTATTCACAGCAGCGCCATCTTTGATTTTTAATGAGAATGAAAGCGAGGCTGTGAGGGATAGACTTGCATCTCTTCAATGGGCTGTACTGTTATTTAATGTGTTTTCGGATTGTCCTGCTCATGAAACACTGGAAAAATATCTTTCCAAGAAATGTCAGTTGACAAAAAACTCCCGACAATGTAAGCGGTGGAAAATTATAAGTAATCTAGCCACTTTATTCAGCGGATGTCATTGGAAACACGTTAAGTCTATCCCTCACAGCCTCACTTTCATACCGGTCATGGCGTTGCTCTGAATAAGGTCTATGACTCAGCAATGTGGTGCAAATTCAGAGCTAAAATGTTCTCTGTGTGTTCTACACACTTGTTCTCCGAGTCAGCAGGTGGATGTTCCTCTCCTTCAGGGGTGTCCTCAGTGACATTTGATTGGTCAAGCTCACTGTAAAGGGAAACAGAAATGTATCTAATTTCACAAATCTAATATAATGAAGCAAAACACCCTCACTGACCAGTCTGTGAATCAAATTCATCTGCGTTTTCAATCTTGGCAGATAAAGCGTCTGTTGCTCCACTGACCTCAACTCATCCTTAACAGTGCCCCAGTTATGAGATCCACCCCCTCCGCGTTTTTCTTCTCCTTTCAGGCTGCTGAAACAAAAATTAACACTTAGCTTTGAAATGTCACACACGGTGGGCGTTAACATTGGAGCCAACATGCGGATGCAAATAACTTACGATCGGTCGCTGCCGCTGTGTCTGTCAAACTCTCGTTTGCCGCGCGAGTCAAAGCCGTCAGTCCTGCCGACGCCTCTGCCCCGGCCTCCGCGTCCTCCTCTGGCACCTCCACGGCCCCGGAACGGCCTGTCACTGACAGACCTGAGGAGGAGAGATAATGTAGCTGTTAGATGTCAGTCTTGTTTGCTAAAATAATCTTTTTTGGGTGTGATTCTCCTACTCAATGAATGGATCTTTATGAAGGGGAAAAGAATGTAAATCAAGTCGTGATGAGAAGTAGCAACAAAGCTGCTCTTTCATATTGTAGTGTACATCTAACTAGGATGGGGACTTTGTTCCATGCATTGGTTGTTGATTATATGTTGAGATGTGCACAGAAAAGTGGAGGAAGATGTATGTGAGCTAGCAGGGGCAGAGTTTATACATACTAAATGATTGGAGAAGTCTTGCATAGATCATTAATCTTAGATCAATGAGATTAAGTTTTATATAAATAATATATAGTCAAAAATAATTTAAAATGTAATTGTTCACAATAAGTTCGATGACACTTTTTTTTATGTCATGCCACCTTTATCAAAGATAAAAAACATGAACAGAGGCATTAAAAACCAAAGTATACTTTTGCTGGCAAATTAAACGTTTTCAATATAGAACTTCATTAAAGATGTACATCACAAAAAGGGTCAATTGACTCACTTCTCCACAGAGAATTCTCCACCCTCAGCAGGTTTTTCATCAGCGGGTTTGTCAAAGCGTCGTTCACGTGGTGGCCTCCTGTCAGGCCGCCTGTCAGCTGGTGGACGACCCTCCCCCTGACCTCCCTGCTGCTGGGGTCCTGGCTGTCCCGGCTGATCCGGTCGGCGGCCCATTTTTTTCATGCCTTCAAACCAGAAACATGACAGATTCAACCAAACACCAACACCAACAACTATCAAAGAAAACAATGGTGAATAAAATGGTCTTATGCTGGGGAAAAAAATAAATAAAAAATAGACAAAAGGGTGTTCCATTAATGTGAATCATTTTAGGCAAGGCACATTTTTAAATGTACTTTACTGTGATGGTTGGTTCCATCACAGTACAGGATGGTTCCCCCAAAAGTTGAACATTTACTTATCCTCAAAGTTGTTTCAAACCCACTTTATTTTGTATTTCAAGAAAAAAAAAGGTTTAAAACATGATGTATGAGTAAATGATAAATACAACTTCATTTATGGTCAATACCAAAAAACAATGTAAATACAACTGTCTTAGGTATTTCTTTATCTGTGTCTTATTTAATTGAATAGGTGAAGTTTGTTTATCAATAGTGCTTTTACATTAGCATATGAATAAATTAGAAGTTGTTTTATAATAATGGTTTAAATAAAATAATGTTTTGTGACTCTTGTGAGTGACTGGTCCCACCCTCCACCTACCGAAATAGACGCTCGCGCTCAGCCCAACAGCTGATCACGCGCCCTCCCGCGCGCGCACCTGTTCACGAGCCCGCTGCCTCCTCATCCAGTTCAAACATGGCCACTGACACCCGGAAAATCTTTTTTTGACAACTCTACCTTTAAAAAACTGGCCAGTCTGACGCGTACGTCATGAAGGTAAAACGGCTTTAGGCAAATACAAATAGGAGGGTTTTCAATGGGGAGTGTCATGTAGGAGAGGACGGACTATGTTGCCTCAAACACGAGGTTGGAGCTGCAACGCTCGAGCGCTGATTAAAAGCCACGTGATAACGGACGGACTGTGCATTCGGAGACTGTCAATACACATTTTTTTTTTTTTTACTAATGAATGGGAGAGTTATACTAATCTGTTGAGTAAAAAGCACAAATGTGGCCGACATTAACATACTGATGGTTATCATTTAGGCCTGCACTTCATGGATGATCTAAAAAAGAATTACGTTAAGTAGCAACAGGTTCTACTACATGCGTCACTTATAGACAATGTATGGAGCTTAAAATCTATTTTGCTGGAAGAGCTTGAAGTTTTTGAGGCGTCGGGCAGTTTCATAAACAATAGAGTTGTGCGCGACCTCATGGGCTTAGTAGCGCCTTTTGCAGACTGCTCACTTGAGTAAAGAGTGACCAAATAACGACTTCAATACATGCTATATTTACCATCTTTCTTGAGAGGAACGGGAGCTTGTGTCTCTTCTTTCTTGTCGAGAAGCGGGACTTTCCTGTCTTTCTGTGTCTCCTTTTTGAGCTGCTTTGCAGCCTGCGAGGCGGTCTTGGCGGCACCAGGAGCGGTCGCGTCCTTCTTCTTCTTTTCTGCCTGCTTTAACGCCTCGAACGGATCATCTTCATCATCAAATAGCTGGGCGAACCGATTGGTTACGACACAGCCGAAGCCTTCTTGCAATTGTCCGGGCATGATGGCCCCCTTTCAGCAGGATTCTCCTCCGATTCTACGGGGCTTGTGCGAGCGCTTCGCTGCTAGATGCCACAAGATGGCTGGAAAAGACTGATGCTTCTCTTCCGGCGTGAAAGACATCCGGGACTCTCACCGCACAGCAGTATGGGACATCTAGTCTCATAAGTCACCCCAGAAAAAAATAATGCAGATATGATTACTAATTTCAACATTTTTAAATGGCAGTTTCACAAGTACATTTAACACAATAAATGTTTTTTCAAACATCTGTCATTTTATGTATTTTTTATATTGAGTATTTTATTACAAAATACATTTTATTTCTTACTGTCAAAACGTTGGGACAGTAAGGGCCAGTGAGGAACACTGAGGCAGGTCATGGCCCCATGACTGGATTACAAGTCTTCTAAACAGGTCAAAATAGTTGTGGACTAATGGAGTAACCCCATAAAAGCAACCATTCAGCTGTCTTTGTAACAAAAATGTGACATGTCACAAGTTAATTATTATTTGGAAAGCTTGAATGCTCTTGGCAATTTATTTATAGCCCCACAATAATGGCTGAATAAAGTAGTTTGAAGAGGTCAGTGATATATTTGTTAACTTTTATGAAAGGTCACATCTTCTTCTGCGCTTTCATCATGTATACTAAATTTTATGTACAGTAGTGCTAAGCTATAGTTTTTTATTATTTGAGACTCAGGGCTTGACACATTACAGATGTGCACCTTGAGACAAAACAATGGCACTGACATATTTTAAGATACGCCAGTGCAAGCTGCTTTAAAACAGCTCAAACATGCATTTCAGTGTGGGACTTTGTCTGTGAAACAGGGGTAAATGGCCATCTCTTCTGGTTTGGCAAATTGGCAGTGATGTATGTCAAAGGTTAGGCATTGTTTGTGGATAAATTAAATACTGCTTTGAAAGGTGTGTTTTTAAAATCCTTTTTTATTATTGTAATTGGCCCTACAGGACAAAACACAGCCACATAACGTCCAAAGGAGTTAAATGGAAATATGACTTTCTTCTGGTCCCAGTTAAATTAATATAAAAATGTAGTCCTTGACCAATCCCTAGGCTACCCCTAAACCTAACCTCCCATAACTTCTCCCTAAAGTCATAAAGTAGCCTAATAAAAGGTGAATTACACTGATGTGTAAGTAGCCTACTTCACACTGGTTTTAAGCCTAAACTTGACATAAAACTGTAAACTTGTCCCTCAAACCTGATTGGTTGATTGGAAAGTTGATCCAGGATCAACAACGATGTTGATCCAGGAACATGTGGTACATGGTGAAATCAGTCACCGATGGGACAACCCATCTGAAGGCGACTGTGATTCATATACATTACATTCAGCTAAATTTCCTCTAAGTTTTTTACCATAACTGTATTTGAAGAAACCATTCTTCCGTGCATAAGAAGAATGCCGAATGTGGTGACGGAGGCGATTATTGAGTCTTATGCGCTCATGTTTTTGGTGATGTCAGCGTTTTTTGTATACTTTTGTGGCATGGTCTGGGCATTCTGCAACCCTAAACTCAGTAGCTTCGCTGAAGAAACCGAGTGCGACACGTGGAGTTTTTCACAAGTCCCTCTGCAACAAATATTTGCAGATCCTGAGGTTGTGGAGACACATACAACACACCACATTTGACCAGCTCCGAATGTCTGGATCACTCGAGGTACATCGCTTCGGGCTATAGGCTATTGTGGATTCATATTTTGAAGTTTATAGAAAACAGCACCAAATTTGCTCCAGTCTCATCATGCCTGAATGTAGCCTACCTGAACATTGCAAGCGTACTGTAACCAGAGAACTCCAGCTACAACACAGAGGTAAGATTGACGAGCCACTACTGTCATATTAATAACCGTTGTGATCAAAAATCTCTAAACAAATTAATTGGCAAACACAGAAAGCTAAGTTGGTTATAGGATGATCGTTTATTTATTAACACAGGGAAGTGCTTCTCTGATCTTCGTCGCCATGGCAACCCATCAATACCTGCAACCCCACATTGCTAACTCATCCTGAGAAATAGAGAATTTACACACTCTGAAAGTACACACTGTATTTTTTTTCTCCTGTTTTCCACACTTGTTCAATACAGAATTTGTTCTACTTTGTTAATTTTTATTTTTCATGCTCATATAAATGCTTTGGCAATACTAAAATACTGTACAATTTGTCATGCCAATAAATCTCATTTGAATTACAATCATTCGTTTCTGATATGCATGTTTATTTAATGCTGTGTGTAGTTGAATAAGTTGTTACAACTGCACTTCAACTATTACTTCGTTGTATTTGCTTTATACTTTAAGTGTGAACACAGAAAAAAAAGTTGTACAAGTCTCAGTTGCACATATCAGTATATCGGACACATTAACCAGTTAATACTTTGACAAGCAATTTATTAATCATAAAAAATGTACACAGTTCCACACACCGGTACACAATTATTCGCTGGAAAGAGATGACAGAGACTAGCCTTTTATATATTATATACTCTTATTAAATCAAATAATTTTGGAAGAAGACCCTTTAGGTGACAAGATAAAAATGGAATAGATAAAATTACATGTCAGATGTGTGATCCCATTTCTGTCAGAGTCACAGACTGCTAACTGTTCACAGTACTTACAATGGTAAAAAAAAAACATTCACCTTGGAATCCACTGCAACAAAACTAATGTAAATATTACAATAATTAGCAATTAATAATTAGTAATAAGTAGCTCAAAAAGTAGAGCATAGTGCTAGCAACCCCAAGTTCATGGGTTCGACTTCCAAGGAAACCAATAACTGATAAAATATGTACCTTGAATGTCACTTTGGATAAAATTTGCCAATGTAAGTACTTGTTTGTAAATAAAAGTAAAAAAAAACATGATAGTTCATAACAATGCTGGACTACCACAATCATTTCATAAAGTCTTTTGATATTCATAAAAACAAATATTAAGGAAGATTTCTTTGTAGGGATAGAAATGCATGATACATATTTCACAATTAGATTTTTGCTTTGATATCTAGATCCTCGTCTCTCAGTTTCTTACGCACTTTATCCTCAAGTTCCAATAACTTCACATACAGGGCCTCTGAAATAGTTTCATCAATGTCCATCTAAAAAACAAACATAACTGTCAAATTATGTAGGTATGAGTAATGATTGATATGAACAGGATGAACAGCTGAGATACATAAAAGTCCAACTATTTCTTAGCAGAACCAACCAAATCACTAAAAATATAACCCCTAAAGACTATAATTTCCTATATAAAACAACATTTTAAAAAAATTACAATTCTCAGAGTAAAATGGACATAAAAATAGAAGAGTGAGGGAACCCGCTTGTCAGGTCTGACCTTGCGTGGTTGGGTGTAATTGTTTCCAAGCCCAGAGGTCAAACTGTGGTATTTGGCCATTGGGTCCAGTGACTCAGGTTTCTGCATGAACAGCCAAAACTGTGTAATAAAAAACAATAGATGAAAACTGAGACCAGGAGAAATCTATGAGGCCAAGTCATTCCTCCAACTGACTTGCAACACTAAGCTTCAAAAACTATTAGTCAAAGTGGTTTCACTTATTTCTTTTTCCATTCCATGTACTATGCAACAATTTTTTTTTTCCCAGTCAAAGATTTCAGAAAATGTATTAATTTCAATAAAGAGATGCAGCGCACCGGCCACTTTATTTGGTATACCTTGCTAGTACTGGGTTGGACCCCCTGTTTGCTTTCCGAACTGCCTTAATTCTTCATACCACAGATTCAGCTACGTAGGTGCTGGAAATATTCTTCAAAAATTTTAGTCCATATTGATAGGATAGCATCACGTAGTTGAAGCAGATTTGTCGGCTGTACATCCAAGATGCAAATCTCCCTTTCCACCACCCACAAGTCTTCTATTGGATTAAGATTTGGTGACTGTTGAGTCCATTTGAGTAAAGTGAACTGTCTTGTTCAAGAAACAGTTTGAAATTATTTGAGCATTGTGACATGGAGCGGTATCCTGATGAAAGTAGCCATTAGTAGATGTGGTAAATAATAAAGGGAAGGACATGGTCAGCAACAATACTCAGGTAGGCTGTGGTACTTAAACAATGCTCATTTGGTACTAAGAGGTCCAAAGTGTAGCAAGAAAATATCCTTAAAGGGTTAGTTCACCCAAAAATGAAAATTCTGTCAGTATTTACTCACCCTCATGTTGTTCCAACCCCGTAAGACCTTCGTTCATCTTCGGAACGCAAATTAAGATATTTAAGATATTTAGATCGCTCCTGCATACTTGTCCATAGGCTTCTTGAGGACTTGGCGTCCATAGGACTTGCTGTCCTCGAAAAAGACATCGTTAAAATAGTCCAAGTGACTACAGGGCTCAATCTTAAGTTTATCAAACGACGAGAACACTTTTGTGCGCAAAAAAACAACAAAAATAACGACTTTATTTCAACTATTCGTTTATTTCTCCCTCTGCGCGAGTCAGATTACTAGTTTAATAGTGTAAGCTTCTGTTATTGTACGTCACACGCATCACACACATGACCAGCGTCGGCCAATAGTGAGCCTACGTGTGACGTAGCTCTACGCTATCACACTACGTTAACTGACTACAGGCCCATGGAGAAGGAAGTGAATAGTTGAAATAAAGTCGTTATTTTTGTTTGTTTTTGCGCACAAAATGTATTCTCGTCGTTTGATAAAGTTAAAATTGAGCCACTGTAGTCACTTGGACTAATTAACGATGTCTTTAATGACTTTTCGATGCCAGAAAGAGTCATTCCCTCAAGAAGCCTATGGACTGTATGCAGGAGCGATCTTAATATCTTAAATATCTTAATTTGTTTTCCGAAGATGAACGAAAGTCTTACGGGGTTGGAACAACATGAGGGTGAGTAAATACTGACAGAATTTTCATTTTTGGGTGAACTTACCCTTAAACACCATTACACCACCGCCAGCCTGAACCATTGATACAAAGCATGGCTTTTTACGCCAAATCCTGACCCAAGCATCTAAATGTTGCTGTAGAATAATCGAGATTCATCTGAATAGGCAACGTTTTCGCAATCTTCTACTGGGGTGAGCCTGTATGAATTGTGGCCTCAGTTTCCTGTTATTAACTGACAGGAGTAGCACCGGTTGTGGTCTTCTGCTGTAGCCCATCCGCTTCAAGGTTTGACGTGTGGTGAGTTCAGAGATGCTCTTCTGCAAACCTCGTTGTAACGAGTGGTTATGAGTAACTGTTGCCTTTTTCTATCAGCTGAAACTAGTCTGGCCATTCTCCTCTGACAACAACAAGGCATTTTCTCACTGGATGTTTTCTATTTTTCGGACCAATCTCTGTAAACCCTAGAGATGGATGTGCATTAAATTAATCCCAGTAGATCAGCAGTTTCTGAAATACCCAGCCCGTCATGGCACCAACCAACATGCCACATTCAGTCACTTAAATCACCTTTCTTCGCCTTTCTGATGCTCAGTTTGAACTTCAGCAAGTCATCTTGACCATGGTTATATGTCTAAATGCATTGTGTTGCTGCCATGTGATTGGCTGATTAGATGTTTGCATTAACAAGCAGTTGTACAGGTGTAGCTAATAAAGTGGCCAGTGAGTGAAATGTAATAATTATCCAAGGTTAAACTTGATGATGCCAGAACCATTTGGGGTCATGCTAGTACATACCAAAGCCTCCGCTCCATTGTAAGGTGAGAGGGTAAAGGTGTTGGTGAATATTCTTATCTGATGAGACAGGACATTCGGACATTATAACATTGTTAAATTTGTGTGTGACAATCCAAATATCGTGTTGATAAACAAGAAGTAAAGTAAATTGGAGACCTACAAGCCACATTATTGGCATGATGAAGGTCCAGAAGAATGATGGTAGAATGCCATAGGTGAGGTTAGTCATGACCAGACCAGGACAGATCACAGATGAGTACAAACCCTGCGAACGGATCAGTAGTATTAATTAATAATTCACAAATAATATAATAATAATCAATTATTCTGGTATATTATGATATTGTATATAATGTCATGCAAATGTTTGGAAGTTTTAGAGTGTGGTTTTGAAGTTGTGCTGGGAACTTACCCGGCTGTTGTAGTGGCGGTTTAGGGCAAAGCTAAGTAGATCAGACGCATATTTCGAGGAGCTGTAGGGCTCATGGCCTTTCTGATGCTGAATGTCATCTAGACTAAAGGCCGATCGCTGGGCATTACTGGAAGATGTCCAGATCATTAGAGAATTGTGGTCCGTCTGACACAATAAGGGCTCCAGTTCCCTCACCTGTCACAGGAGAAAAAAATACAGTTGGATCAGGGAATGTACTGCTTAATTTCTGCATACTTAACAGAATTACAAAAACACTGATTGTTTTTGTCTTCCATTGTGAGGCCATACTGGTAATGCTGTCCCAAACTATCACCATTAGGCGAGCCAAAAGTTGACGAAAAAATAATAATTACGCCACTTTGTCTAAAACAACACAGTGAGGTACAACACCCTGAGAACAAAATGGCTGACAAAACATGGTTATGAATAAAAAATTATAAATGTTCAATAGAAAGTTCAATTTACTTGAAATCGAAATCTTTAAAAAAAATTATAAATCTACTTTCCCTTTTGATGAATTTAATGCATCCTTTCTACATAAAAGTATTTCAAAAATCTTACAGACCCAAACTTTTGAATGGTACTGTATATTTTAGTTATTTTGTTATGTGTATTTTTTATTCTAATATATATTTTTTAAATAACCAAAACAAGAATAGAAGTGTGTGAGTAAGAGAGAAGCAGAGGGCAACTTGACTAGAAACACAAGCCTCAATTGATCCCCCTGACTCAGTGCCGTCTCAGCAGAAAATCGATATGTCTTGTCTAGCCTTCGAGGACACGAAGTGTCATATCTACTGCAACTTTAATGTCTGAGCCACTTGAGTCACAATAACTCCACTGTATAGAGAAGCATGAGGAGTCAACTCTGCTGCCCTGATGCCTCAGCTCTTCAATTAACATCAGCAACACTTCACAAGGAAGCACAGGGCTGCAATTTGAGGACTCAAAATAACTTCAGCATTAGAGACGTTCGGATGAATTATTGATCGGGCAGCTGCCAGGGAACAGGTTGTGTTGACAACAGTGAAATGAATGCTGTGGCATCCATGGACCAAATATTGTTCTAGGTGATCTTTTTGAAATAGTCCTGAAAGAACACTAGTTGTGTCTCGGTTTTTTATTATGTTGAATTTATTTTTATGTGTGGTCATTGAAACACACTCGCTAGTTCTTATCCATCAACTTACCAGAAGGAAATGACCAAAAAGATTAGTGGCAAACACCTCCTGCAAACCAATGGGTGTGACCTTATCTTCCTGGGTCAGAATACCTTCTGCCGTGGCAAACATGTGAACCACATTTCTGATGGGTAGATAAAATGAAATATAATCAAAGACTTCTGCTATAGTCAACATAATATACTATAATATAACAGCACACTGTCTATCAATAGTATATACTATAACCTGCATACTAACTTTAAAAGTAGTATACAACACAGTACTAAGTACGTAACAATCAATGTTTTAAAATGTATATTATTGAATCATTGGCTAAAAGATGCATTACATTACAAGCTATTTGTTTGTGAATCGAGAAATACATGCATAAAGAACATAAAGCAGAAAGAATTCAAAAGAACAGCATTTATTTGAAATAGTAACATTTTAAGTCTTTACTTTTGATCAATTGAATGCATCCTTGTTATTTCTATAAAAAAAACCCTCAAAAGAATCTTACTGAGCCCAAACATTTAAAAGGTAGTGTAAATAGAAAAAAAAAAATACTGTACCTAGAAAACAAGCCTTTATAAAAGGCTTTGAGATCTACCCTGGGATTAGGCATGATTCCAGCATTGAGATACAGATAGTCCAATCTTTTGTACCTGTTAAAACAAAGTATAAAATATTAAATAACATTTTAATCTACATTTATGAAATTGGGGGCTCCAAATGTGCTTCACTGGTCATATAATACCAAGTACAAAAGTATTGATGGACTAATCTGATTAACTTTGTATGAATTCTTGCAATGGCTCCAAGGGGTTAAAAAAGTACGCAAACTTTTCAGCAGCGTCTTACATCATCAGCGTCACTGAACGCGGATTGACAACAGAACCGGAAGACAATGCTGAATAAAGTCGTAGTTTTTGTTATTATTAAAAAATTCGAACTAACCTACTGGGGTCAGATGGACTACTTTGATGATGTCTTTATTTCCTTTCTGGACAAGGACAGTATATCGTACATACATTTTCAATTGAGGGACAGAAAACTCTCGGACTAAATCTAAGATATCTTAAACTGTGTTCCGAAAATGAACGGAGGTCTTATGGGCTTGGAACGACATGAGGGTCATTAATGACATACTTTTCATTTTTGGGTGAACTAACCCTTTAAGAGTGCTCTACAAAGCCACACCTCCTTAAAATCGCACGTGTACAGCAAGGAGCAAACAAAACCATCACGAAAGACAGTGTTAAAGTACATCATGTCTCAAAGCACATAACATTACAATATAACATAAAAAACTTAAAGAGCTCTGACCTGTACCACCTGACTGCTGCAGATTCATTTAGTGGTTAATAACGTTGTCACATAAATTTGAGTAAATTTGATAAATAATGTCACAGGCTTCCATATCTTCCAAATTACAGTAGTTATGGCGTTATTGCTATCAGGGATGTGAAGAGACTTTCAACCAGCAAAACAAAAAAAAATTCTGTAACAAATCACCTACGCTGTCTTTAAAACATTGGACATTTTGAACATTCAGAAATAACGTTTTCATAACATAATAAGCTTAGGTTAATGTTTTCCAACTGTGGTGGATTAAATTTGAATATGCGCAAATGAGATTTAAGAGGGCAGAATTTTTTGGGGTGTGATAAAATTTCAGCCTGTTCCTCAAAAAAAATCTATAAAATCTTTGTTAAGGTTAGGTAATAAAACAATACAGTTGTTTATTGTTTATTCATGCTAGTTCACACTGCATAAACTAATGTTAACAAGATTTTGGTAAAGTACTATTAAATGTTGAAATTAACATTAACAAAGATTAATAAATGATGTATAAGTGGTGATCATTATTAGTTCATGCTAATTAATGTAGTTAACTTATGAACCTTATTGTAAAGTGTTACCAAGAATTCAATAGCTATACCATAACAGCACCATCAAAATGATAGTGTATTTTGGTAAACCGGGACTGGGATGTCTTACTTTTGCTTGAACTCATCAGCAGCCCTGAGCACTGAGCTCATGTCACCCACATCTAAGTGCAGCAGAGAAACTTGAGCTTGAGGGTGAGACACTAGAAGAGCCTGACGGGCAGCTTCAGCTCTTTGCATGTTCCTGCAGGCCAAGCAGAGCTGCAGCTGAGCATCCTGGCTTAGTAGACGCTCACACAGGGCAAGGCCAATACCACTGAACACATGACAGCAAACAGGGTTATGCAGTGAACATTAACTTACAGAGTAAAGAGATGCATTGTGCAATCATGTCAACTATTGGCTATATATGAGAACACATTCAGAACAATACAATTAATTCTAATGTATTTCTTTCAAATATGTCTTTTGGTTATTTAAAACAGAAAGATAATTGAAAAAGAATCAAAAGTTCCCATCACTATAACTGATGTCTAACTATTAACGCTAAAGTTATAACAGTGATGTGAAACTAATGTAAACAATTAAATACACACAGTTTCGTTACCTGTTCGCACCGGTTACCAACACTACTTTCTTCATCCTATCTTTACATTCATACAATATATGATATGCTACCTGTTATATTGTACTTTCCCTTCGCAACAGTTTCTAATGTGTTTTTTAGCCGGTGTGTGTGTACGGATGGAGTCTGCACTGCCGCCATGGTGTGATTGGAGGTCACACTGCTATCGGCCAATCAACTGTTTCCTTTTTGTGACGTGACATCTACTCTGCCCAATCAAGACTTAGCTACTGTCAGACCAGCCTAACCAATCGTCGGAAACCTAAGTAATGTGATAGCAGAACATTCTTATTAAAAAGTCTTCTAAAAATTATTTTTTTTTTCGGGAAAAATATGAACGTTTAAAAAGCAAAAATGAATAAGCTGCACATAAACGTCAAATTCACAAACAAATACACATTTTATTACTGTCAAAGTATGAAATCTGCTTAATTATAAAATACCTAGACAACATGTTTAGAGATTCATCAATTTATTATCGTATGTACAATTTTATAACACAGGCCTACATGTACAAAAGATTATTAGTGGGGAAAAAAAGACTGCTATTAAAAGAATACAGCATAGGGATATCAAATGATTAAAGGATTAAAGAAAGAAAATGCTGTATATTTTTCATATTGATAAAAAAATAATCCAGTTTCCCCTTCATTGTGATAAGATATTGTCAATGTAGAATATGAAAAAGTTTTTACTCTCCTCACAAAGCTGTGTTTTATAAAGTGGAATGTTGAATACTTCCAGGTTTTTGTAAACAAACTCAGTCTCAAAAATGACTATATAGCCTACTGTTTTATGTTTATAGCATGAAAGAAGAAACTTTAATAGACTTGCTGAGAAAACCAGCTGATAAAACAGTGCAGAATTAGAATTAAAGCATATCTATAATGCAACTTCATCAGTCATGTCAAGAATGTTAAAATGAATCTATACATGTAGACAGAGACTTTCAAATCCACAACCAAAACGTATAGAATGGCATATATATCAACTGACCCTCAAAGGGGCACACATTTTCAATATTATAGTCATATACAATGACCAAAAATGATTTACAAGTATACAAGTTAATTACAAAACAGATTTCTGAGTGTTCACAACAGCATTTTTCACATGCGAAAACACATCACAACTTACTGTAGCCATCATAGTGCATCTGTTCAATACAAATCCAGTATTTATCCAACAGTTTAGCAATTCAGCACCAAGGCAAACAAGACAAACAGCATGAAAGACAAACAGCTTCAAAATAAGCTTATTTTCATCTTTGATCAACAAAACTGGTGATACAGCCCCATTCGGGCCTACTTTGAGAATAGATGAACACACAGGACAAATATAATGAAAAAAATGTACAATTAAGTCATTGTACTATATTGGATTTCATCCAACTTCATGCAAATATTATAACAGATTTCTGTAAAAGGATTATGGCTATGTATAGCTCATTATGCTGACATTTCTGCTTCTTGATACAAATGTTGTTTTGAGCAAAGAAAAATAATGAAATGGGCTTAAATAATCACAATTTTCACCATAATAAGCACAACACTTATGTAAAGCAGTACACTTAAATATAAACACATATATAGGTAGTTGCGGATAACTATACATTTTAAATTTACAATTTTAATTGAATCTTTTCTGATTTTGAATTTTAAATTTTGTGGCAACCAAACAAACTTTCTGTTACTCCACTTGGTTGAAAGTGGTCTTTGCAGTTTACTACAGAGAAGAAAAAAAAAATACTTGAGCATTTTCAATAAATGAGATGATGAACATGTACACAAACGTCAAGTGACATCAAGATAAAAACAAAAGGTGAATCTGAATGTCAATTAATGATTCTTATTTACATTCAAGCTGTCTTCGGCCTCAAAATACTGAAAACAACATTAAATTGGAAATAATAAAAGGCCCATTAGTAGCCAATACCATTTTAAATGCCTCTTTCTATTAAGAAAAAGATATTTTATAGATATTTCAGTTAGTATAAAGTTACACAGTGTGTAAAATCCAATTCTTCTGTGTTAAAGGTGCATAAATTCATTGCTACATTTTATTTAGCCTAGTGCTGCCCAGGTATTGTATGCCGACCGCAGGCACTTAGTTAGGGGGCGTATAGTTCAATCATACTATACACACACACACACATATATATATATATATACGTATATATACATGCACTGTATATATATATATATATATATATATATATACATACATACTGTACTTATATCAGATTGCCTTTGCACACTCACAGTGAAAATAGCTATAGAAAAAAATATAGATTCTGATCAAACTTCCTATGGGAATGTATAAGTGCGTGTTGATGTGTGTGGTTGACTGGAGTCCTGTGGGCGAACTGAAATGTCTCTGGGAGTGTCAATGTTGGCACGTAAGTGGACACTACGGCTTGCATTCCAGTAGTGTGTGATGAATCTCCTGGAAAGATGGACGTTCTTTCATGTTCCTGTGCCAGCAACTCAACATGAGCTTGTAGACGGGGTCCGGACACATTGGCGGCTGGGGCAGGTATATCTGAGGATAAGAAAATACTATTACATTATTAGACTATTACTATTATAATATTAGAAAATACTGTACTACATCGTACAAATTCGTATGAATTATTGTAAAATATGTGTGGAAAAAAGTGTGAAATGTCATGAGATCAGACATAAAACAATAGTGGGTTTAACATCAAAATGTATTGTCTGATGTTAAAAACTATGTTTTTATAATGTAACCTTCTCCACCTTGGTCAGTTTAAGGATAATGCAATTTTATAGTATTTATTTGAAAGAATTAAAACAGATTCATGTCTATCCTTGTATTTTGAAAGTATTTAGTAATTAAAAGTAATTAAATACTTTTTAGAGAGAGAGTAATTAGTACAGTAATCTAATTACACCGTTGAAGAGGTAATTAGTAACTAGTAATTAATTACTTTTTTAGAATAACTTACCCAACACTGGTCACGATCATGAATTTTGTTGTAATGATTAATTGTCGTACATATAATTGAAATTAACGGTTTCATTCTTTTTTTGTTCATGTCACTATTTGTATAATATAATATAATAAACAGTCATTTTTAGGTTTATGTTTGTACTTTCTTGTTTTCCCTTTGCCCAATGCTGACTGACCACCAACGCTGACTGTCATATAATGTAATAGATTCTGATTAAACACAAAAACTTTTGACTATCTTTATGTACTTTACAACAGTATATGTTCTTTATGTACTTTACAACAGTTTCAATATTATTTTTACAAAATGTAAAAAACAAACAAACAAACAAACAAACAAAAAAAAAACACCATGCAGGCCTATTTGGAAGACATGAAGATGAGTAAATGACAGAATTTTCATTTTTGGGTGAACTATCACTTTAAGCCTAGTTCACACTACGTGATTTTAAGCCCGATTTAAGCCCGATTTGCAAATCGTTGAGTCGCCGACAAGTCAGGGTGTTATCGCGTGCAAATCGCGGGCGATTAGCGGACGATTAACGCTCGCCAATCCGTTAGTGTGAAAGAGCCAACAACGCATCAAAGACAGCTCGCAGACAGCTCGCAGACAGGTCACCGAGCTCAGAAAAATATCTAGCCTGCTAGATATCTCGAGCAGTCGCGCGACTCAATCTCAGTGATGTCATGAGTACAGCCAATCATAGCAACGCATGGGTTGAGGACACCAGGTAAATCTTACTTTTTCTTTTTTGCATTTTTTTTCTCAGAGCAGATCGTCGAGCAAACAGTGTGCAGCACTAGTTTCTGTCTGACGTCCATATTCGCGTGTTATGTTCTTCTCTGTAGTTTCGCGTCATTTCTGGTTCGTTTTATTGCGTGGTTTTTCGTTACAAAACATGGTTTCTAGACCAGATAGAATCGTGTTGTTGTCAACTCGTTATTTGTTTGATTATTTTCAGGATTTCGACCGTACTATAGTACTGAAACAGCTCTCATTGAGTCACAAATGATATGCTCTTATCATCCGATCGTGGTTGTATCTCTATGCAGTGCGTTGTTAACTCGTGTAGTGAGTTACCTCCTGTTGTGGATCAATCACGTTGTGTTGTGTGGTGTGAACAGCTAAACAACTTGAACACTCATGATTTCACTGAGAGCAAGTCATGTAATGTGAACTGCACAGTTCAGCCCAACATTTTCAAATCATGTAGTGTGAACTAGGCTTAAAGCATCCTTTTACCTGTCTCCTCTGATCCCGAAAGAACTCCCCTGTATTTTCAATGACCTGCTCATCTGAAAGCTGTGAGTAGGGCTGCTCTTTGCAGAAGGTAAGCATCTCCCAAAGAGTCACGCCAAAAGCCCACACATCACTGGATGTGGTGAATTTCCCCTGTAAAGGACAAAAATCCTCCCGTGTCAGACTTTTATAGATATAGAATCTGTTTTAACCTACAGCATGTATGAAAAATAAGTCTGAATAAATTCATTTTCAGCCAGAAAATATAACACTTATTTCCTTTGTCAAGTTTATGTGTGTGTGTGTCTGACCAGAAGAATGCTCTCCCAGGACATCCAGCGGATGGGCAGCACCGCTCTTCCCTGGATACGGTAGTAGTCTCCACTATACAGGTTCCTACTCATTCCGAAGTCTGCAATCTTGATGGTGTAGTTTTTCCCTACAAGGCAGTTGCGGGTGGCCAAGTCCCGATGGACAAAGTTTAGTGAAGATAGATACTTCATGCCTGAAGCGATCTGTGTGGTCATGTGGTGCAGGTTACTGTAGCTGAGAAAGTAAAAACATAGAATATGAGTCATAACTTGGTTAAGATCACTCCTTAAAATTAAATTTAGCAATGAAAACTCGCTTGTCGACTCTATTTCTACAATTCCGTACACGTCCTTTGTAATGTGTTCATTTTTCATTGCGATTTTAACGTCCCTCCCAGTCCACCACCGTAATTGCACTTCCAATTGCCATTTCTATACTTAACTGTAAATGTTTAAAAATATTTGGTATCAACCTGACTGTTGGAGCATTGCTGAGGAGAGCGATCATGCCTTCAGGCTCATGGCGAGACAGGAACTGATTAAGGTCTCCGTTCTCCATGTATTCGGTGATCATACACAGAGGGTCAGAGCTCATACACACTGCCAGCAGCCTGATGATGTTGGGGTCTTTCAATCGTGACATGATCTTTATCTCCTTCAAGAAATCATTCCTGTAAGGTATTGGGAAAAAGAGTTATGGCAATCTGGCAGGGGTGTGTTTACTTTAGATGTTACAAGATGGATCAATGAAAATTCAAGGACCAGTTAACCCAAAAATGAAAATTATTTTTTCATATGTAGTACAAAAACAATAAATATTTTCTGTCATAAAATTAAAAACATCATATGGAAGTGAAACAATGACAGAATTGTCATTTTTGTGTGTAGTATTTCTTTTTTGCATGCATTTGATGTTCATTAGGAGGATGTAGTGTCAGAGTTTACATTTATTCATTTAGCTGACGCTTTTATCCAAAGCGACTTACAATTGCTATATATGTCAGAGGTCGCACACCTCTGGAGCAACTAGGGGTTAAGTGTCTTGCTCAGGGACACATTGGTGTCTCACAGTGGATTCGAACCCGGCTCTCTCACACCAAAGGCATGTGTCTTATCACTGCGCCATCACCACCCCAGAGTTTAGCTTTAATTTATGAGAGTAATGATTGTGACATTTGGGCATGCAAACCTAGCGTTTTTATTGGCATCTGCTCGGAGCATCTTAACAGCTACAAGCACTGTTTGGTTTTCAATGACATCGAAGGAGAAGTCCTCATCCATGAAATCTTGCATGCCTTCAGCTTCACACAAATGCACCTAACAACACAACAGCAAAAACAACCATTTAGTATATTCAGATATCATTTAAAGATTTTGCAATTAAAAAAATATATATTTTTTTACTTTTAATTTGGAAAGCACACATTAAAAAAGTAAGTAAATACATTAATGTTACGGAATATTTCTATTTCAAATAAATACTGTTCTTTTTAACTTTCTATTTATCAAGGAATCCTTGCCATCGCAGGAGTTCATTACATTTAAAAACATTAAAACAGTAATACACCACTGTATACAGAAAATATACAGAACTGACCTCTCCAAACTGCCCTTCTCCCAGCTTTTCTTTAAAGGTAAGCAGTTTCCGAGGAAATTCCTCCACAGCGACATCCTTCCCTGACAGCAGGTCCATGGTGAGGGCGGGCACAGCGTAGGTGTTTCCCCCAGTCACACCCTGCAGGTTGACTATGTCTGCCTCAGCATAATGTGGGACACCCTCTTGCACACTCACTGGAGGAGACTTGGAAGCTGTACTTGTTGATGCTGCAGAAAAATACAAATATATATATATATATGAAGAGTTCAGATGCAAAAGCCTCTAAATGCCATTTGAAACGTTCTTCTTTAATGATGATTTTTGTCAAACTTGTATATTTAAGTTCAGTAAATTCACTTAAATAACAATTAATAGGTAATTATCATTGCCATCTAAGTGAAATCACTGAACTTAAATATACAAGCTTGATAAAAATGGTCATTCTAGAGAAGAAAATTTCAAATGGCACTTAGAGGCTTTTGCATCTGAACTCTTCATATATATATATATATATATATATATATATATGCCTTCCTCCTCCCCACAACCCCCTTACACCTTCCAAATATCACTTCTGGAACTCACCGGTATCCTCAGATGTTTGGGAAAACTCTGGCAGTTTGCGGACCAGACGGGAGGGCTCTTGGTAGTCGGGTCCCAGGGGGAAGATGCGCTCATAGGTGGTGTTGGACTCCTGCTCGCTGGACACTGAGGAGGGGCTGTTGTTGTTGTTGTTATAGGTGAAGGTCTCACTCTGTATTGACAGACTAGCAGTTAGTTCATCGTCCAGCATCCTCCGAGACACCTGGAATGAAGGATGTTTAGTAAAGAATGCTAAAAAGGTCTAACATATTTATTAGTAGTTTGATGCATCTATGAAATCATATTCACAATCCACTTACGCATGCCTTTTTTTCATTCATATAAACACTGGAAAATAGCATCACTCTGTTTCAGAGGCCATGCAGTAAGACTACAATAACAGTTTGTCATAATCAGCATCCTTGTTTTTTTACATTAAGGTCTGGTGCAGAATAGAAGTTTTTTTTATGCAAGAAGTTCATGTGGGAATATTCTGAGACAAAGACATAATTTAAAATCACATAATTAGTAATACATAATACACATAATTAGACATAATTGGACAATCACACCACTGCTCAAAAGTTTTTTCTCAGAAATATTTTTCTCTTTTGCTCACCAAGGCTGCATTTATTGAAATATTATTAAAATATAGGCTACTAATATCTATATAGATCTCTTTTCAATTTGAATATATTTTAAAATATAATTTATTAGTGTGATGACAAAGCTACATTTTAAGCAGCCATTTGGTGTCACACGATCCTTCAGAAATCAATGAAATATCCTGATTTGTGCTTTTCTTTTTTTAAAAGTCACTGATGATTTTTGTGAAAACTGTGGCTCTTTTTTTCTGGATTCTTTTGATGAATAGAAAAAATAAAATTGGCATTTAAACAGCATTTATTTGAAAAATAAATATTTTGTGTGACACCAAACTTTTAAAAGGTAGAGTAGGTCATAGAAGTCTATTTAATCACATTTTAAAGCTATGCAATCTTGCCAGTCACAAATCTATAAAATAATTTACATGGTTTAAATATTAAATTGATTTAATTCCATCTCACCTTTTCAAGCATCTTTTGCCACACTTGTCTCCATAGTATGATAACAATAATGGCTACTAAGATGAAGATGATGGCAACCAAGCAGCCAATCAGGATCCGGGTGTTGCTGTCATCTACTTTGTGGGTAGGGTCATCCTCTACGAAAGAGGAAAAGAGAAAAATAACCTGCAAAGTATCCTTGATCTATGGAATGGTGCTATATAAATTAAACTTATATTATTATCAATCAAAAGAAGAATGAAGTTCATCCAAATGGCACAGATCTCAGGGACATGCACAGGAGGGAGGCCCGGTGGCTACACTGTAAAAACATATTGTTGGTTAAACTTAAAAATATTAAGTAACCTGGTTGCCTTAAAATTAACTTCATTGAAATGGAAAAACTGAGTTAATACAATGAAGGAGATTGATTTCATCACCAGAAACTCCAAATATTATGTTATTTGAACTGCATAAATTATTTAAGTTGACTTGACAAAAGAAAAAATGTTGTGATTACAAATCATGAAAATATTTTTTTACAGTGTAGAGCCACCGTCACACTGCCCTCATCAGCTGAGGTGCCCCTCTTGACTACCCCCAAATAAACCAGGTAAACATGATTTTGACAGAGCGATCTTCCCTCAGTGCCCTTTTTTGGTTTGAGCCACTTCCCCTCAAAATGTATTTGCATGTCCCTGACAGAAACTACTCAAAATATGACTCAAAATATGACTCAACATCAGTGGGAAATCTGACCTGGTTGATTACTGGTGGGAGTACCGGGCTTGGGCGGAGCCAGAGTTGTGTTGTACATGGCCGTATCTGAAATCAGGGAGTTAAAACAGTCATTTATCCAATGGATGTGCCATTTGAACAGGGTTGGTGTTGTTGCATGGTCATTTACTAACCTGACTGGAAGGTGATTTCACTGAACATCATCCAGATGTCAGAAAAGTAGTACTGGCACTTAATAGCACTGGCCATGTGATTGTAGAGTGAAACGGTGACGAAGCGGGCACTGGGATTGACATCATCCATCACAGGGCTGAATGATATAGGTGTGGCCTCCCAGTCAGACTCTGAGCGGAAATAACACACCACCTTCTGAAACGTCTTTACCCTTTGGGAGAACATGTTGTTACAGTGCACCTGAATCAATTAGGATTAAAAGGGAGAGAGAATGAATTAAAAAAAAACATTATTATGGGTGTAATTTTGGAAGAGTTGTGTCATTTAAACCGTTAATCTTTACAATAAGCTTAATTGTAGTTAAGTTTCAGCAATTACATAGATTGTACTTGTAGCTGCTTGCCCTCCTAGAAAGTTCATATATGGCAGAAGAGGAAAGAATTAGCGGTGTACATGACAGACTTCATACCTTCATGGTGGTGAAGTTGCGGGTACGGTCAAACTCAAACATGATCTCAACGTAACCATTGGGAAAGCTCTCGTTGGTCCAGCCGACATAGTCATAACCAGGCCATACGTTGTACACGTGACTGTGTGTGAAGTCATCAAGACCACACATGCCATCCGTCAGTTGTCCAAGTCCTTCTGTCATACTACAGGAGAGAATAAACACAGAATGTATGTGTGTATTTATATATATAAATATTGTGATGTCATTTCCATCAAGAGGTGCATCAATTTTTGGTCAGATCTTGTACTGACGATGACAGTGCAAGAGTCAAGCACTCTGTGAAGTCTATTCCAGCACATCCTAAAGACTTTTCGATGAATTTAAGACTGGACTCAGAGGTGACAATTCATGTGTGAAAATTATTCTTTATGCTCCCTCCCAACCATTCTTTCACAATTTGAGCCTGATGAATATGGCCGTGATGTGTCTTACTACATGGTTGTTTAAGAAATGAAAAGTACACACTACATCAATTAGGGTTAGAAGAACTGTTAACATATACACAATAATCACAGCAATAATAATCCAATCACACTCTCAAGCATTTGCCTATTTTAATCCAAATATTCATTCATTTAAAAAAAATTACTTTTTCAACAGGGATGGATTAAATTGATCAAAATTGACAGTGAAGACTTTCACATTCACTCATAGACTGTAAAAAAATCAATTTACACTCAAAAAAATATTGGTTTTTAAATAAATTCTACTTTGCTATCGCAGGACTAAATTACATTTTAAAATATATAAAAATCCTAATTGTGTTGTATTTCATTAATTAGATAATGACAAATAAAATATAAATAAAATAAATGAATAACAATAAACACAACAACAATGACGGATTACTCATTATTAGTAGGTCTCTTACAGATTGCTTTTATTGCTCTGACTAAAGATGTTGGCATATTTCAGTTTATTATGCTTTGTTTAAAAAATTTCACCACTAGATGGCGGCATTATATAAGTCTTTATCTTAATTTTCCCAGCAATGACAGTTGTCACTTTCGTAATAGTTTAATGACGATGAATGTGTGGATTTCTACTTTGCGGTTTTCTGCCAGTTTTGTCATACGTACACAAGAAGGTAAACAGACTTTGCACTGTGTCATGGAAGGTATTGTTCAGGGAGCAATGAGTCAATTTCTCCTGTGAACATTGTGAAACCACTGTGACTCTCTCCGGTCCAGGGCCTGCTGGCGCCTTGTTGTTGTCATAGCAACCAAGCAATAACAGGCCAGCTGTAGTTAGCCTATTGTGTAACCAATAAATGACCGGTAAACCGGTCAGTTCGAACCATACAGATACTGAATTAGTTACTATACACTGAAACTTCTCTAAAGGATAATGTGTTTAGGATAGGAGTAACTTAGCTTATCCAGTATCTTCCTCGTTTATTCTTAAGCTTTTGAAAAGTGTACTGACCTGTAACTCATGGCTCCATCATACACAGAGTCATTGAGATAAATATACTGTCCATTGAGAGTCATCTGGTGGCCAAGTGGAGAATTATATGAAACCAAGCCATCTAGAAACAGCCACAAGAGAACATTGTCAACTCATTTTTCTTTTGTCAGGTGTCCCATAATGGAAGCGTTCAAGGAGGCTCTGTGCTGTGGTTATAATGCTGATTCATCCCACTAAAGGACATTGAAGTTGTCATTGCAAAATGATAAATATCTCATCTGCATTAACAATTTCCATAACAGCATACAAATCACTGCAAATCTAATGTCAGAGAACACACAGAGAGAGCAATTGTGAAGATCCTCATCAATATCATATAGTACATTCTTAAAAATATAGGATCCAAAATTGGGCTTCCACAGTGATGCCACAGAAATACCATTCACCTTTCAGCGAAAAAGTCTTTTTTTTTTTCTTGGTGTGAAGAACGTTTTAGTAATCTAAAGAACGTGTGTAACATGCATAAATGTAAATCTGTATACTATTGTACTCATAAATGTTGCCTAAATTCATTTTTAATAGATTTAATGTGTTAAATTTACAGTCGTTCTCTTCAAGAAAAAAATTGATGACTCATTTTGTACCACCCAAACTTCTAGTTTCATTAGGATATACATAAACATAGGACAGAAAACCGCATCACGCAATTTCATGGGCCTTTAATTAATCTGCATCCTCAAAAGTACAGTAAGCGATTTCTGAAAAATCAGACAGACAACATATGAAGAGTTCAGATGCAAAAGCCTCTAAATGCCATTTGAAATTTTCTTCTTTAATTTTTATCAAACTTGTATATTTAAGTTCAATAATTTCACTTAAATAACAATTAATAGGTAATTATCATTGCCATTTAAGTGAAATTACTGAACTTAAATATACAAGCTTGATAAAAATTAGCATTCTAGAAGAAAATTTCAAATGGCACTTAGAGGCTTTTGCATCTGAACTCTTCATATGTAGCCAATCAGCAGTAGGGGGCGTGTCCACTCATGATGAGAGAGTGAGCAAGAGGGAGATTTGAAGAAAGACTAGATAGAGAGATGGCTGAGAGACATTACAAAAGAGAAAATGTCAGAGAAATATCATTGGATAAAGAAGGGTTATTATCAGGCAAGAGCTTTTGGACCCGTGTTAAGAAGCTTTCCACCGCAGGAGACACCTAAGCAGAAAAGCCTGAAAACAGACTCCAAGGTTGCGTTATTTCTACTCCATACGTGAGTAACATTGGATTGCTATGTTTCACGGAACCGTCAGGACAGTTTTGAGCGTCATAGTTTTTTTCTGGACCTGATGTTCTGCTGGTGACTCACTAGTAACTATTGCTTGTATACTTAGTCTTGTGTACGGTTTGTTCATTTTTTGCTTTTCCCCAGACAGCAACATAGTGGCGGCCCAGATCCAGCCCACATATGGTACGTGTGGAATTCAGATCTGGGCCAACACTATGTTGCTGTCTTGGGTCCTTGAGGTTTGTTGTTCATAATCTTCGCATTATTTTGCTTCACTTCAGCTATCATAAAGAGACGTCCACACCACTCAGCAGGAGGGAGGGGTGTGTTTGTTTGGGTTGATTTTATTTTTAAATATCAACAGTGTTTCTCAGAAATCGCTTAATATAGCTATTAAGGGATATTTCACCCAAAAATGAACCAGTATCTTACTTTATTCCATGAAAAAAAGAAGATATTTTGAAGAGCATTGGTGGCCAAACAACGTGAGACCTCACTGAGTTTCATTGTATGAAAAAAACAACAAAACAAAATAAAAAAGTCATGCAGGTTTGAATTTGAAATGACACGAGGGTCACATGAGTAAATGTTCATTTCAGGGTGAACTTTCCCTTTAGGCATTAGTTGAATTTCTTTTGACTAACCTTTCGACAAAACCAAAAATTATTTGAAGCATTTAACTCACTTTAAGTTCAACACTTGTCAGACTTACCCAGCCACTCACAGCCATACAGTTCCACACGCATGCAAACGTTCATTGAGTGATCGATGACAGGCATGAAGCGGACAAAACGTGCAATGATGGGCGGCTCCATGTCCTTCAGCACAATGTCATATGCATTCCTGTTCCCCTCTATAACCTTCACAACAGAAAAAAAAACCTTATATTTTGATTTTCCAGTGACATACAGTACACATAGCCAAAATGTGGACAAAAGCAAATTGCTTGTTAAGCATGAGCATTAATAGGGAGCTGGTCCTCTCTAACAGTTGCACTTCTGGGACAGCTTTGCTCTCATTCAGACACAAATGTATCAGTGAGGTCCCGCACAGCCTGGCTCACAGCTGACGGTCCAATTAATCCCAGAAGTGTTTCATTAGGTTCAGGTCTACACACAAGATACAGATAACCTTTACTTTATGGTACTGGAACAGAAAAGTTACGTCCCATCCTGAAATGGTGTCTACAAAGATTTCATGGGGTGTACAGGATGCTTTTATGCACCTGGTAGTCAAGTAAAGTCACGTTTATATATAGTGCTTTATAAAATACAGAGGATTTTAGAGCAGCTTTTTAGTGATAACGGGAAAATTATGCATTACGTCTATTGTTCAGTTAATGAAGTTCAGTATTGATTCAGTTCTGTTCTAAAGATCATCAATTAAATTAAATTAGTTCATTTTATCTATAAAGCAGTTCTGCAAAACAATATGCCATCATCCAGCTCAGTTCTCATCCAACAGCGTCCGTACAGTCAGATCAATAATATTCTTGAATATGTCCCCAACTTAACAAAATAGAGGAGACAAAGGCTCCATCAGGTGACAAATTGGAGGAAAAAATCCTTGGGAGAAACCAAACCAGGCTCAGTCAGTGGGATCTCCTCTGGCCAACGAACCAACATGGTGTGATTGTGATTTCAGGCTGCATCACAAGTCTGAATTCACTAATAGGTGTAGCAGAAAAAGTCAATCATGTTGTGTGGTACCCACATACTTTTGGTCATGTTGTTTTTGACAGCAACATCGCAATATCTACTGACATATTGCATCACATTCAGATGTGACATGACATGATTTTTTTTAATAATATATTATAATATAATATAATACTAGTAATTGCTATTACACCAGTCTTTAGTGTCACATGATCCTTCAGAAATCATTGTAATACACTGATCTGGTGCACAAGAATTTTGTATTTTTTTTATTTTTTATTAATGTAATGAGAGTCATGACATTTTTTTGGACATTGACGAATAGAAAGCTCAAAACAACAACATTTGTTTGAAATATTAATAATTTATTTTGTAATATAATATAATAATAATATATTAATAGTATATGTAATCAACTGAATATTGCCGGGGACACACTTAACGACTAGCTGAAACATTCTAAGACTGAACTGAACACACTTAAAGACTGTTTCCAACGACTGCAGCAGATTTTAAACACCGACCAGTGTATCAGTACGTACCTCTTTGCCCTGCCTGTTGCGCCAAGAGATCCAGCGGCTGCCATCGCGGCTATATTTGATCTTGTATGTTTGGGCAAACTCATTACCAATGCCCCCTGCGTGACGTCCCTGAGTGCCCACCAGAGTGATGAAGTGCAGAGAACGGAGGTCAATCTGCAGGAACTCGTTCATATTCTCAGGGTCTCCTGCTATCTCAGGGCACCATGCGCCATCTCCTTCCTCACAGCCTAGCCTAAAACACAGAAAAATACATCGGTTTCATTTACGGAAATCCCTCTGAGTCTTTCTTTGGTCTCTGGACTGCATCATAAATCAGTCTAAAATGGTTCATTTTGGGTGAAGGGGAATGTGTTGGGAACACTTAAAATCTGTGAAAATGCAGAAGAAATATATGGAGGAAGCATATTTACATAATTTTAGTGAGGCTACGAGGAGGCCACCCACAGTTCCCCAGATGTGGTTTGCTCCCAGCAAGATAACCTGCACTACAACTGGAAAACACTGTGTGTGTGTGTGTGTGTCATACCTGCCATATTTTGCTGCAGTGGAGTCAGACCACTGACTGGAAGCTGAGATGTCTTCATCTAAGATCTGGCCTCTGGACATTCCTAACGGGGACCGACACACACCTGTAAAAATATATTGTTAATGTTTATTTGCCCATCAACCTCTATATGTAAAGTCACACCCTGCTTGCAGTCTACACAACTCATAATCATGCAGACAATGCTTACTAACTTTTACATAGCATTTTTTAAAATTCCTATTTCCTTTGCATTTCAGCGGCTTCCCCTTATAGTTACTAAAATTTAAAAAGTATGAATTTAGCATCTGAATTTTATGAATATTTTTTTCATTTTACATTCAGTCCATGAGAGAAATATACAAAAAATGCAAATGGTTTGATTAAGATTATGATGTTTTAGTAACAAAATATGTATATAAAAATGCTTTTTATTGCAATATATCGTCATTGTAAATGATAAAAAGATCAAATCGAGGGCTTGGAGCCAGACGGGCGTAAGCGGCATTATGGGCGAGTTCTTTATATCAAAATAAAGGTCTCAAATGAGCTCTATCCAATGGTGCCAAAAATACCTATCTGAGATCAAACTGTATTGAATAAAGTAACAAAAAGGCGTATCTGACGTATTTTGAATTTTTTTTTTTTGAAAATGTTTTAGAACATGTTCAATGTGTTAATATGCCATACATTTTTTTACTTAAATACTCATTCATGTAAGTATGCCTGTGGTTGCAATGTTTGTGGTTTAAGGTTAATAATACTGGTGACTGAAGTGTGGTCAAAATTTTGTTTTGTCTGTAAAGTTTGTTAAAAGCCACTTACGCCCGTCTGGCTCCAAGCCCTCGAAATATTCATAAAATATTTTTCTTTGTGTTCAGATATAGCATGTGAAATGTAAATTATTTTATTACTGTATTTTACATTTTATTTTGAATCTACAGTACTTGGCAACAGTGGATGATTGGTTGAAAAAAAGTATAAAAGTGAAAAGAATAAATTAAGTAAATTTTAAACATGACAAAATGTTATGATTTATAGTTAAATTTGCCATGTGAGAAGGGATGGGCCTTGAAGAACCCCTGTGTGAAGATAAGTAGGGCTTTAGACCACCACCCACTGACAGTTTATTACAAACAATATATTTTATATTTTGATTGTAAAATCACATAATACTGCAGAGCCAGAATATAAATCTTAATCTTTCATAATATCTCTCTGAGTGTCAGTGTGAAGATCCGGACATGTAAAAAATAAAGTGTACAAGGACACTCCTACTCCAAGTGGCCCCTCCATCTCAACAAAATAGGCTTTGTGATCCTGCCAGCAACAGCAAGGATAGTGGTGAAGGACTTTTTGTCTCTCTTTTCATTTTTTTCTGTCTCTCCTCCAAATGTTTGCTTAAAAGTCAAGATGGGGGAAACCTCAGAGGCTTGGTTTTGGCAATGACAAGCTGATATAATCCAAAACGAACTGAATCCCCCAACAAAAAGCTCTTCCAGATGTAACAGAACGGCATCCTCCTCCCCCATCACTCTCTCTATTTCTTTCTTTAACACATGTGCACTCATTCTCAAAATCAGGCTATATATCCTATATAAAACTGGGCAATATAGAGAATACTAACAATGTATTACATTTTTCAGGCAATATCAAATTAATATTTAATATTGTGTATATTTGAATGCACTTTTCTTTGAACGCATATATTAAATGGTAATATACAAATTGCAATAAATTTAAATGTATACAAATGTTTGTTAAATATTTATTAAAAATATATGTAGGTAATATCTTATAATTTTATATATATATATATATATATATATATATATATATATAAAATTACAATTATTTATATATATATATATATATATATAATTTTTTATTTTATTTATACTGTACATTTCAATGATATATTTTACTTGGCAACAGTGACTGATGGTTTAAACTCTCTGATTGAAAATACCTTTTATTTATTTAAAATAATATTAAATAAATATATTTTATTATTTTATAATATTTTATTTGTTATTACTGAGTTTCCCCCCATATTTCACAAATTAAATCATTTTTAAATCATTTAGCTCACACACACACACACACACACACACACACACACACACACACACACACACACAACGCATATATATATATATATATATATATATATATATATATACTGTATATATATATATATATATATATATACACCACACACCATTATTATATATTATAAAACATATAATAGAAATAATATATTTTTAAAATATTTTTTCATAAATTGAATAATCCCTCAGCTAAAATATTCACACAAATTTTACATTTCAGGGCAGAGTTTTCACCATAGCTTTGTGAACGCAGGCAAAGCAGTGTTAGACAATTGACACAAGAGTGCCACATAGATCAAATGTCTTTCAAATGCAGTACTGTTCGACTGCAGACTCAGGGCCAGCTGTGTGTTAACAGATGATCTCACAAGGTCACAATAAGAAAAAGCACGGCAAGGTAGTAAAATAATACGCAAATATGAACAAAGGACACTGTTTTCTCAATGATGGATTATTAAAACAAGATATGTAAAGAACGTTTTTTTTCGTTCATACATTCACAGCACTGTTTATTTAGTCTCTGTTTTTCCACTCTCCCTGAGTGGATGGTTATAGCCTCAGTATCAGATGGAGTAAACATTCAGTCTAAAAATATTCCTCACTTCAGAAAGGTGGAAAAATACTCATGTTGTGTGAAGAAACTGTGGCTTTTGGTCCTTCCTCTCTCTCTTTCTCTCATGGGCCACTCTGGTCTTGTGCAGTAATTCATTGGTCCGAGTGGCGCTTAATTCCCCCTCCTGCCAACCGTTTTTTTTCCATCTTTAATCCTTGTGAATGGCACATTTGTTCCACCATGTTTGCTAACTGCATAGTCCAAAGCCTTGCGCACACACACACACACACACACACACACACACACACACACACACACACACACACACACACACACACACACACACGCACGTGTATAGTAACATACACTTTTAATCACATGTAAACTGCTGGAGGAGGTACTTACATTTTCTTCTTTTCTTTCTTTTTTTTACAGTAGAAAAAAGTAAGAGTCTATAACTCAAAGTGGAAAAAAGCAGAGAGTAGGATGGTATAACTACAGTCTTTGGGAATTTTAAACAGAGGAAAGTTGGCAGAGGAGATCTCATAGCTACTGAGTTCAGCAACACACTTTTCCAGAAGTATAGGAAAAAATGCGGCTTTATTTCCAGCGGAAATATGAAGGAGCAAAACTGATATTTAAAGAGGTTACAGCATCTCTCTCCTGGAAAGAATGGAAAGCAACAATTTATAGAATTTATCTGAAACACTGTCATTAACTTCTGTCACTAACACTAAGGTCAACTAGCTGAATACCAAAACGATCAAACTGTAAATGTGAGAAAGACTGCTGCTGTGACATGAGCTGAAGAAACAAATATAAAAAAAAAAACAACAACACAAAGCATTGGAGCAAAAAAAGAAAAGAAAAGAAAAAGTAAGAAATAGAAGCTGTTTCGATATTCTTTCCTGTTGTCAAAATGTCTGGTATGTACAAGCCACAGACTCCAGTCTGATTGTTGAATCCATTGTAAAGAATCATGCTTGCACTCGTGCTACATTCAATAATAAACTCAAAGCAAGGTCACATCCACACACAGAGCTCACACACTGTTCAATGAGGTTTGAGAGATGGATTCTATCCTGTTACATTTCACCACTCATTTTCCTTTCTAACCACCAGCCTGAAGAAAAAAGATATGTATAAATAAATTCTAAACTGAAGATTTTGTGTTTGTGATGTGATTTAATAATATTAGGCAGCAATAATGGGATACCATGATATATCACTAAGACAGTGTTTCAAAGCAAAGCACTGCAGTGTATTGATACAAACTGTAAAGCACAGTGCAAAACAAACACAAAACAAAAACAACAATAGCATGTAAATGGTAATGAATGTTGAGCATATTGTGAAAATTATTTCAAACATGTCATTATAGATGTATTTTCAATATGAAGGGCATAGGAGGCACCCTTCATTGATGAATAAGCAGATGGGTAAAGTAGATGAGACCGGGTGATGCTGAGGGACTGGAGGGACATGGTGACACCTAACGCTCAGGCGAGTAAAGTATAGATAGGGACACATAAGGACACAGTGGAGACAGAGGGAGCGAGGACCAAAGGGGAACTGAGGAGAGTGAGGAGTCCAACAGAGCCGGGGGGCGAAGGGATGAGGCGTAGTCAGAGGAGAGGAGTCCAGAGGTAAGGGATTCCAATGAGGGACAAAAGTGAATTCGAGGGGACGAGGGAGCCTTGCGGAACTGGGGGACTGAGGAGCCATGGTAGAGCTGAGGGAGGTAAGAGCCAAGGTGGAACAGATAGGATGAAGGGCCGAGGTAGAGTCCTGATTGAGGAGGTTGGAGGTGGAGACCGGGGATCCACCGACCCTGAAGGCGTTGGTGGCAGGCAGATCCTCGGCGACTCCACCTCTTTAAGAGTGGATACAGGAGCAGAAGGGCTGCCAGGCAGTGGTGGAGGAAAGGTAGAGATGCAGATGGGAGGAGGAGGAAGAGGGAGGCTGGGTGGGAATTCAGGCTCTGGGCTGGACGGAATCAGCGGTGAATACATTTCTGCAAGGCTGGACGGGACCAGGGGTGAAGGCCTGGGACAGCTGGACGGGACCAGCGGTGAAGGCTCGGGAGAGCTGGACGGGACCAGCGGTGAAGGCTCGGGAGAGCTGGACGGGACCAGCGATGAAGGCTCGGGAGAGCTGGACGGGACCAGCGATGAAGGCTCGACAGGGCTGAATGAGAACCGTCGGAGAAGGCTCGTCAGGGCTGGACGAGAACCGTCGGAGAAGGCTCGGTAGGGCTGGACGGGACCGTCGGAGAAGGCTCGGTAGGGCTGGACGGGACCGTCGGAGAAGGCTCGGCAGGGCTGGACGGTACCAGCAGTGAAGGCTCTGTGCTGGACGGGACCAGCGGTGAAGGCTCTGCAATCTTGGTTGCCGACAAGGGCTTGGGCAAGACATGGAGGTAAAGGTCAAGACTGACAAGAAGATCAGGAATGGCGTGACAATCTCTTAGGGGTGGCTGTGTCCCGGATCGAGGCCCGACACTCTCCAGACACCGCATGATGGTCGCTCTCCAGTCCATTCCAGTGGTTGTCTGGGAGGTCTCTACGCTGATTGAAAGTGGCCCCGATCCGGAACAAAGTTCACAGTCTCTCATCGTTGAGGTCACTGTGGGCAGCAAGACGGCAAAAGCCTAGAGAAAATGTTAGGAGATCTTGGCTCTTCTGGGCCAGGATGATAATTTTTACCCCATCGTCCATTCAGGGTGGTCGGTTGTTCTGTAAAGGGTGTGTAGCGGGCAGAAGAAGACTCAAAGTCAAAAAGCTCCAAATCTGACAGTTTTGTTAATATGAATCACAGGTACACGCAGGTAGGATGATGGGAAGGATAACGTTAATTTCTCGAGATCATGTTTCTGGAAGGCAGGAAGGATGGAGGGAATGAATGAATTAAAGAATGAATGAATAATCAAGTCACCAAAAATGGAGCAAGAAAATTATACAACAACTATAATTCATTGCATGCAGGTGCTGTTCTTTAGTTTTGTTTTAATTTATGTTTAATTATTTTCAATGATGATTATTCTTTGGATTATGTCTTAAATTATGTAAATTATTCAAATATTGTATAATTTTATTTCCCATTACATTAGAATGAAAATGATTTTTTCTTTAATTGTCAGGAAAATAATGTCACAAATTAAAATGTAATGTTCCTAATAATAAGCATATTTTTTTCTCATGCAAAATAATTTCTTTCCGCATTTTTTCCTTTTGATTCTGGGGTGAAAATGCTTGGCAGGGTCACTCATGACTCCTTCAACCACTTCTCTCTGACACTTTTAAACCAGAAAGTAACCATCCAGAACCGTCGGTCAGCAACATCAGCAACAGCTGAGTGTAGTTCTGTTATTTTTGCATGTACCACAAGGCTTTTAAACAATTTAGAAGGATTTTTACACAGAAGGATTTTTAACAAACCATTTTACATATCCCATGTTTACTTATTACTTTGTAGTTTGACCAAGCAAAGCATCAATTTAACAATCTGGATGGACTGGTATCCTCTTCTATGATACATGCAAGCACAATATGGCTTCAAAATGAACCATTGAAGAACATTATGCAATTCTTGCCTTACAGCATTGTCACGTGTCAATGTTAGGCTTAATGTCATGCTTTCATGTCACCAGAGGAAGGAAGCAATGCTACCTTGGTTAATCAAACTCATCTGCTCCATACATGAATAAAACCCAATATAGTACAAGAGCACAGTGTGGTTTTCATCCTGGGGGATCCCAGAAGAAGCTGTCTCTAGCCATGGTGGTATTAGCTGCTTTCCAGACTTATGCTTTAGTCTCTACTGTACGGCTGCTCACCATGAGCTGGCTTCTGGTTTCCTTGTAAAATATAATTGAACCTCACATTGACATCACACTTTCCTCCCCACAAACCACCCATGCTAGAAAGAAAAAGCTAGAGTTGAAAGACACAGACAAAGGAGAAGAAGCCATGAGAACCAGAATGGAACCTGGGCATCTTCCAAACCTTATTCAGACCTCAATCTTAGACTGATCACCGCCATAGTACAAGGCTGCTAGATTCAAACCTATAGTCAAAAATAGCATTGCAATTTGCAGCAAACTGACGTTCAGAAAACTTTAACATTCATGGACAATAAAATCTGAGATTGTGACCACATGCTGTTAGTGGTACCACAACAACTGATTTCCATAGCGACTTGTCTCATAAATTTTCAAAAACTGTTTTGAGTTTAACCTCAGAGCAAATTTATGTCACCAAATGTTGTTCAATTAATATAATATTGTAGACTAGTAGTTAAGATTTGGGCTTAAGTTTCTACAAACTGTGAAATTCATGAGTTATCATCATTGTGCTGTTGAGTACAAGCCATTCAATACCAAGTTGCTTTGGATAAAATGATCAGCTGAATGACTTACATTTTACAGCTTGAGTCATTTAATCTAATTTTATGCAATGAAAAAAAAAAAAAAAACATAATTACCTGGATTTACTTGAGACTTGACAGATCCTGATAGGTAAAGGAGAATAAGGAGCGGAAAGAGCATCTTCCAAAGTTGCCTCATCTCAGGCGGAGATGGGACCATCATTCCTGGAGAATGAGACACACGGTTAGAAAAAAAAACTCATGACTTCATTTTCACCACAGACATTCAGGAACTGTTTTAACATGAATTCTTCTTAAATAAAACTCCACTAAGAGAAGAATCAACCCAAAATTCAGCCCAAACTTCACCCTTATATTTATGACGTTTCAAACTTGTACGACTTACTTTCTTCTGTGTTACACAAAAGAAGATTTTTTTCAGAATGTCTGTGAAAAAATGTGTTGTTTTTTTAACAATGAAAGCCAAAGCCAATACATTCTTTAAAATATCTACTTTTGTGCTGCACCGAAGAAAGAAAGTCTTTATGGAGTGCTTTTCAACACTTGATTATGCTGCCCAAATGCCCATGTCAATGGCTGGTCTTCATCCTTTCATTCAGTTATTTATTCTTTCATTACAAAAAGGCACTGAGCCATGAAACAAGTTTAATGGGAAAATAGGTTGTTGTTATTTTGAGGCAATGGTTTTAATTTGGTCAATAAAGATGCAATAATTGCCTGCAGAGCATAACGGAATTTCCATATATTCATTATAATGACATGAGAACAGCAACAACTGTTGGGAAAACTTCACAAGGCATTGTGGCTAGAGTTGAAAAAAATGTACAAAGTCTCTGAGTTCAAAGAGAAAATACTTGCTCTCTGGGTGTACTTCAATTACTGACCATCAAAACTTTTATGAAGGTCTGCTTTGGACATACAATTTTGAGAAAACACAGACACACAATAAAACTAGCCAGCACATCTTAACATTCACATTTACATAAATTCAGTATGCAGATCAAAAGCCAAATACAAATCAGCATGAAGTTTTAACATCTACTCTTGTGTAATGGAAATCTTGTGCTTAAGTATTGAGAATGAGGAGTCACGTGCCTATTTGGGCGGGGTCTGAGCCGGTCGGCCATGATAGTAGGAGACGCTATCGGTTACCAGGGTTTTTATCGGTTTTTAACGCAGCAGTTACTTCCAGGCATGGTAAAACAGTGCGGTATTGCGGAAAACTCCTCTACCGAGCTAAAAACACACGTAATCAATACTGTTTTGTCGTGGGAATCCTACCAACATGGCGGAAAGGGGAGGGGCACTGTAAAATGACGTCAATTCCTCATTCTCAATATTCATCTTAAAGTATTATTTCCTTAATAAGTACACTTTGTATGCTGAAGTGTACTTCTTTTTCACAAGGGTACCTTAATAGTTCTTATTTGTTACAGGTTTCTGTGTATAATCCACAAAGATATGCACAACACAGGAAGACAATTCAAGATACGCGAAACAAACAACAGGAACGCAAACTCTACACATGAAACATAACGTTTACACTGGACTCAGGGCTTAAATACACAAGGGAAGATAGCCAACAGAACGGAACAGGTTTGTGACTAGTAAAAACGATGAAAAACAAACAAGGAAGTAGAACTCAGGTAAAACCAAACCTAAGACCTATTCGGATGGCAACTGTTTCTCATGGATGTCTGCAAAACTTAATTTGAAAGCTTGCACCTCAGAGATAGAACTCATGCATTCGGATGGCGCTTTATTCACGGTGGAGGAGCGAGTTTTGTGACCCTACGGACGCGGGAATACCGTGGTCAGTCACATGATTGTCTGCTGTAAATAAAATTGTCATATGCTTGGACTAAATTTATAAATAATGTCCTTTGGCTCAGCCAATGCATTTGCAGTGCATCGGCTGAGCATTCATGTCTGCGCGTACCTACTAGCAGAGTATGTTTCTGGCCTGACATTGCAAGAAAACAAAAAACTGACCAGGGGATGTGGACTGTCTGTCTGTGGGTCAGACGTTACCTCAGAGAGTGTGTTAGTGCCAGTATGAATGACCAGTTAAGTCAAAATGTCACTTCCCCCTTAACTGATCATACTATGAAATATTACTGGCTGATTATTATGTTCTCAAAAACCAGCGAACAACAGAAATGCTTATGACAAATGATCAGGAGAATTATTTGTCAAGACAAAACATGACTGTTTCCATCATTCAGTCAACTATATTTATTCTTCTAAAGAGAGATGCTGCAGACTAAAATGAAGCTTGCGTTAATTATAATGGAGAAAATTAGATTGTACATGCTGGATTGTAAACAAGCTCAGGATTACTCACTGGTTTTTACTGTGCATGACTGTCCTGGTTCTTTGAAAGGTGAAACACATGATTCATGATGTGTTTTGTAACATGAAGAGACACAAAGACAATTGTACCATTGATTTAGCCTCATTTCATTAGAAACCCACTTCATCCCCCAAAGTTATTTTCCATGAATTACAAAGATTGTCATAACACCCATTCTTTGTCTTCAGCTCCGTCTGTCGAAGACAACAATAGATATGCCCAGGTTTTCATCATCATTTAGAGCCGAGGTTATACTGTGGCCGAAAAGTCCGATTTGTTATCCAAAGTCTATACCGCAGTTTGCACACACATTGATGATGTTGACTGCATTGGTGCTGTCGTAACCTTCCTTTTCAGTCATAACAGAAGTCATGTTTTAAATAAGATGTAAAAGCACTAAAAGTGGTCTATACAAGTGTATTTGTCATAGTACCCATTCATTGTAATTGAATGGAAAAGAGTAAACAATATCTAGTACCTGGTACTATCAATTCCAATCTTGTAAAACCATACCCAGATAGCAAACTGACATTGAATCAACGTAGAAACATGACATCGAAACAACGTTGATCTGACATTGTTTTGCTCATCGAATTAACGTTGAACCAACGTCAGATGCGTCATTCTTTCAAAACTAACGAAAAATCAACTTGAAATCAACGCGTTGTTTCAACGTTATGAAAGCAAACCAATTTTCGATTTCATTTAGCTTTGAAGAATGCCGCGTCTGACGTTGGTTCAACGTTAATTCGATGAGCAAATCAACGTTGTTTCAATGTCATGAGAGACGTCGTTTCCACGTTGATTCAATGTCAGTTTGCTGTCTGGGTAAGTGCTAAATTTTAACAACAAAAACTAGAAAATTTTCATTTTCGGTTCCTACGTATTCAGTAACCAATACTTGTTGTGTCATTAGAAATTATTTTGAAGTTGAACTAAACATACATTTTGTAATTGAAACAGCAGCATGCATATTTATCAAAGTTATACAAGTTCATCTTAAAGTTTTTAAGGATGGAACAAAAGTGGCTTTGGAGCTCTGCTGGATGCCTTAAGAAGCCAAGAAAAGTCTTCATCATCAGCCAAACAAAACTCTCCTTACAGGATTGGAGCAGGAGTGCCCTATATACGAACGTGTGATCTTCTGCCTCATTTAAGGTTTAAGTTTTAAAAGATTGTCAAAGGCCTCCTAGACCCAATGTCCAAAACACCCTTTAAACATCCACTAAGGTGAGAAGGCATGCTAATCAGAGGAACTCCGTAAGGTTACGATTAAGATTAACGTGACTTTAGCATCATGACTAGGACAATTAGCATTTGCCCTTTATTTAAATTACAAAGTGGCCCCAAAGTATGTGAACACATCTGCCACACAAAGAGTGCCTAAATTTAATTGCATTTCATGAAATAGATGGTTTCGTCCATAAAGGAATAGTTCACCCAAAAAATAAAAATTAGCTCATGATTTACTCACCCTGAAGGCATCCTATGTGTATATGATACTTTTCTTTCAGAGGAATACAATCAAAGTGGGGGAAGATGACCTCTAGTGGACAGCCTGGACACCAGGGAACATAACCCAACACTGTGACAATAGTTTTAAACTACGATAAAAACTGTTGGAAAGGTGTCCAAATTTGAATCTTAACCGTTCTATTTCATCAGAAAACAGGGCTTTAAGTGTAAAATACCGAACTTGTCCTTTAAGAGCTTGAGCATGAAGTGCCAGGCGACATAACTATTACCTAGATCTGGCATAAAACTCATGACTCCTTCAACCACTGGGACATGGGACAGGCCTATCTTTAACTAATTTGGCAGTGATCACATCATTATCTACATAGCACAGCTTATTGGTTGCTGTTGCATCAGTGGCCAATGAGCTACAGCTCAACATTCAAACTGTTCCTGTTAGCAATCTGCAGCGTGCTTTAAGAAACCCTCACCTTCTGGTACAGGGGGTTAATAGCAGCATGACTTACATGCTCACAGCAATGTCTGTAATGTATCAGCAGTAGTAGTCTAAGTCTCTGTACTTGCTCTGAAAATAGATTAACATTGTCATATTCATTAACATGCCAATCTCTATTACCATACCAATCTCTCCAAGAGTTGTCATGACATAATTGTAGTTGTCTTTATAGTTAGCAGTCTTGGTGTGATCGGGCCTTTACTGTGGTAATGCAGTGTGTTGCGGAGTATTTGTGTTGCTTCATAAGCATGATAAATGTTGCATAAGAACCACATTGCTTAGTGGAAGAATTATTATTTGTCAAAAACAGAAAGAACTTCCAACATATTAATGTTAATATTAACTACATATTAAATTGCTTCCACAGTAACAATTAATGAAGAACCCTGGTTGCAGGGCTTTGAGAGCTCAATAATGAGAAACAACAAACTCAATTCTTCCTTTTTATGGTGTCTCTTATAAATTAGCTTCGTCTCCCCAGGGACAACCCTATTTGGTTAACACGTGTGACTCTGCAAACCTCTCTGTGAACTCCCAAGCAGAGGGGATACCACACAGGGTAAAGCGCAGTCATGACCTGGGTTACAAGGACCCTCAATTACTCGCTGCAGTGCAAACCGGGGTTACAACGCAGTAGGGAGAGGATTCTTTGGTGTGTTATTCTGCCAGCATTTCCCAAAGCCACTTTCCCAAGTTCAAAACACTTTTAACACTTTGTTAACAATCAACTTCAGAGATATCTTTTAAGATCATAAGCTAATGCAACCGCAAATACAATTTAATGTTGTATATTATATTGTATTTATTATTAAACAACATTATGCATCATATGTATGAATGAAAAAAGGTGCTAAATTTCAAATTAATCAATAAATGCAT